GCCACGCGGCTCCCAGCACCAAGGTAATGGCCTGTGATGGTCACCATGGTGCCTCCAGACTCTGGCCCTCGGATGGGGTTGAGTGACAGCACGGAAGGGTTCTTTGGGAAGAAGCAGAGAAATACTTGCAGCTTAGGTCCAGGGTTAGAATTAAAGTTAGAAGAAGGGACTATCTTCCTGTTAGGAGTGGAGGTGCTTTTCTTGGGCTTTGCAGTCCCAAATGCTCTCTTAGGAGCTGAAACCCTTTCTAAGAGTCTCTGGGCATGCCCGGGAAGGTAGAAGGCCACGTATTGGAATTAATTAACTCCCTGGGGCGTCTTATGCTCATAACATTGAAGGGAAAGCAGAGGTGACACTGACTAATCTATCAATTAGTTTACAAATTGAGAACAATTTGAAAATGCTTCTCTATCTAGAGCCTGTCCTTATTTTTTTTGGCACAAAATCGATAAGGCTGAATAAAGCATCCTTGCCTAAGTTGGGAAGCCAAGAGCCTACAGCCCTCCACAAATAGTCTGTATACTTGGCCTTTTATCCCTCCCTAAGCACATTAGGATTTCCAGTGCTGAGAGCCATCAGTAAATGTCAGATATGACTTCTCCCGCCCTCCCCAAGAGGGTGGCATGCTGCTGGCTGGGACTTTCTAGAAAACTCACTGAGTTATAAGAGTAAGCCTAATACGTAAAAGGCATGTCTAGGCTACATCATGTCTGGCCTACATCAGAGAGGAATTACTTCTGCGTAGAGGGAAATGGAGGGAAAAGTACATTTAAATGAACGACTACACAGGTAAAAACTCTAGTCTGTATTAGCCACTCACTCACTGGCTGTGGGCCCTGAGGTACGTTTCGGGATCATTCTGGACATCTGTTTGCTCCCTTGTCAAGGGAGGAAGGGGCACTGGGTTGTTCCTAAAGCCCCACCCAGCTCTCCCATGGACGGTTCTCTCCTCATCTCACTCTTCTTTGCCTGCCTCTCATCCGCAGTAGGCCCAAGAGAGGCCGGGGTACTCTCCATTCTGAGAGGAAAGTACGAGAAAAAGGTAGAAATGCCCAGATGAGAAGACAAAGGCCTGGAGAACCTAAAATCAGCAGTAAAATGTTTGAGAGAGAAGAGAATTTCACGGCCTAATGATTTCTCAAAACCCTTAGCAAGGTTGGTTTGATCCCATCTGCTAGTGTTAAAACTTTTAATGAAGCATTCAACGGAGGCAATGTAAGTAGTGTTAGAAAAGGGACTTCGGGACCCAGAAACAAGTTATTGATTCAGTATGAATTTAGCCCTGGCAAGCGCGGGGTCTCGGGAGCAAGTTATTGATTCTGTGTGAAGTTAGCGCCAGCCTAACAGAAAGCCTTTGTGATCCTACCACCTGTTGGCTGAGTACAAAGAGGCGTTTTCAGGCACGAGTGTGTGTAACTGTGTGTGTGTGTGTGTGTGTGTGTGTGTGTGTGTGTGTGTGTGTGATAATACTGACACTCAGAGCCATGCCCTCCTAGACCCACCTCTCCTGGCCCTGTGCACAAAGGCACATCCCCGCTAGATCTCATTCAAGTATTATCGGCAGAAAACAAAACATGAGGATAAATAGGGACCCACTGAATTAGGTCCCTCAGGCCATGTGTCCTCATTAGGCTGGAATTAGTCCAAGATATCACACTGAAGGGACAAAGGGCAGCCCCCAACCCTCCACATCTAGGATCCACTTTCTAAGAAAGTTCCATTTGGCCTTATTTAGAACTCTGACCTGTGGCCCCCGCTAGGACTTCAACGTCTCCACAGCTCTGTTAATCACATGTCCATCCCACCCCAGCAAGACAGGCCAGAAGTCCTCTTTTTCTGGTCTTCTCTAGAGTTTGGGAGAAGCTTGGGAGGGGAGGGGCATGTGGAGCCTTCTAGGGAGAAGTTGGGAACAGATGTGTGTGTGCCCTTGCTGGGTACCCGCAGCCCAGCCCTCGACCCAGCACTCACCACAAAGGTGTACTGTTGATGAGACTTGGTCATGAACTCTGGCTTGCACTCGCCAATGCACAGGCGCACTGGCCCAGAGGCGGTTCCCACAAGGGCATGGCCCATCTCACAGACGATCCTGAGGAGAGAGCAAACCTTCCAGTGAGCAAACCCTGGCAGCTTGCCTTCCCGGTCCTAGTGAATGACTCGTCACAGTCTTTCAGGAGTGCTGAACCAAGAACCTAGCTGGGTCACCCATCTAGATGTGTGACCTGGGACACAGGGCTTTCCCTCTCTGGGCTTTATTCTCATTTGGACTGAGGGAGGTTGGATTCGATTTCTCTAAAGCCCTATGTACCTTTGATATACTATATTGCTGAATTCTATGACCAAGCGTGTGTTCCCCAGTGCCTAGCACGGTGCCTAGCCTTGGGTAGATTCCCCGTATTGGAGGAATAGACTGAATGTCCAATAGAAAGATCTAGCGGCGGCAATTTAATTGGTATCCTCTGCTATGTGACAAGCCAACAGGGCCACTCTCTCTAAAAGAGCAGGTGAGGCCTATCTGCCAAACTGATTCAATTGTGGTCTATTTCCTGCAGTGAGTTTTTAAAAGGGGGATAGATAATCTGGTGAGATATAGGGAGAGCAGAGCTCTAAACAGGAGCTCCCAGGAAAACGGGAGGGGTGCAGATCTGTGGCGGCAGGAGAAGGGGTGGGAGGCGGATGAGTTCATTAGGCCAGCAGTGGACACTAGACTCCCACTTAATCAAGGTCTGAGCACACTAAGCTGGTGGGCAAGAGTGACTTGGCCCTGGGCTGGAAGTCCTGTCTCACACTAACAGGAGAACTCGCGGGGAGAGGTGTGTGGCGCTCTCTCTTAAGCAGCTCAGATCGATACCCCCAGCGAGACTTCCCTGGCGCCTATGATAAGTGACACAGTCACATTTAAACAACTAGATGCTTTAGCTGCAGCAGCCTTTTAGCAAGGGGGGGGTCAGCTGGAGGACAGGGGAGGGCCTGAAGAAATCAGGGCCTGGGGTACCTCTCGCCTGGACCTGGGTTGGATGGGAGAGGGTCCCTCTGGGCTCAGCAAAAATTAGGCTGGAAATGGAGGGAAGGAAGAATCTTCCTTGTCTCCCACACCATTTAAGAGTTCTGAGCAGCCTAGTGTCTCTGGTAGGTTTGCTTAGTGGGGAGTCGGAAAAACAGGCCCCCTCTCTGCTAATCCCCAGCATTATCCTGGCACGGTGGGGAAGATCCATGTTTAACTGAGTGATGCTTATCTCAACAGCTTCTCTAGGAAGGAAGGTAACTAAACAGAGATTTCATTTCGATGTAATAAAACTTGCATTAAACAAATACGCTGCATGCTTACACACACGGCATGCCGCTGGTCTCCATCTCCTTCATAACTGTTAATCCTAAATAAGTACTTTCACTCCTGGCGAATATTTACTTAACATGCAATAACTGTCTTATTACGTTTAGCATATTAGATGCAACAAGAAAGTACTGAACGTGCATGGAAGAATAGTCTCCCTTCCCTTTCTCTGTGAATAAATAAATTAATGATGAGCCTGAATGAACAGGATGGTGATGATCAATTAGTATTTGACACGTAACTGTCTCCCTAAAGCTCATTAGTGGAGCATTTGAGAAGCTTAATTTAACGTACAATGTGCGGTTCCTTTCCTACTGCTACCTGCGGTGGAGTAGCAACTCCTCCATCTTGTTTCGTGGGCGCTGGCACCTGCTCCGGCTGGTCCCTGCTACCCTATAATCCATGTCCTGCACCCTCAATGAGCTGCAGAGGAGAGTTCACTATTTATGGAGGCAATGGGGGCAGGGAGAGAAGAGGAGGCAGATAAGACCCCTCCCCGCTGCTAATCAGGGCTCACTTATTCCTGACTCCTTTGCCCTTGGACGCTGCAGGAGTGATCCTTGAGAAGAATAAGGGGAAGAAATCATCACTGGCTTGAAAATGGGGAAAAAGGAAACAGGAGAACACGTGAGAGGTCACGGGCAACACTGAAACTTCCTGGGCCTGTCCAGGAAAGGAGAAGTGCTCGTGTGGCCCTGTGCCGCTGTCCCTGTAGGAGGCTGACCCTGGGCTAGGGCCTCTGTGCATGTATTTTCCCAGGATATTTTCATGGGTTCATCATGTATTGTCAAGAACCTGGGAGAAGAGCAACAGATGGAATGGAAGCTCCCTGATCCGTGCAATGCTAAGCACTTGCAGTTGGCTCTAAATGTCTCTGAATGTGGCGCGTGAGGAAGGGGCTTGGAGCTGAGCTGCAGTGAGCACCCAGAGCTAGTCCAGGATGTTCTCCTGGACATTGCAGCTGAGCTCTTTCCTTGCCCAGGAAGTGGGTGGGACAGTGGGTGAGTGGGTGAGCAGGGGGCCATGGGCAAGGGTCTGGGTAGTAGGTCTAAGATCTGAACGGGAATGTGAGCAGGATCTCCTGCCGTCCTCCGACTCTGCTATCCGGAGGGTCTTGGTATCTCCAGTTTACAGACAGCGACACTTGGGCTCAGAGATGCTAAGTGATTTATCTATAGCCACAATTCCAGTAAGTGGCTGATTGATATACAGGTTAGTTGGACTCCAAAGCTCAAGGACTTTTGACCACTCCATTCTATTGACACGGCATTTAATGGGATGCTTTGGATGTCTTTCAGGGAGGAGCCATGACAGAGTTGAGGTTTTTGACAGAGGGTAGTGGGGAAGATCCAGCTGGTCTCCTGAGGCCCTGAGAACTAACCATTTTGCCCCCTTCTTGGCTGTGGACCCATTACAGGCCGTGGTGCATGTGACTTCCTCCTCTAGGCTCTACAAGCTGGGTGCTGTGGTTTGATTTCAGGGGGCTTCTCAACTTCCTGGTCTCCTCCCTGTGTCTCTGGTGGCTCCGGGCCCTACGTATTATCAGGAGGCACCAGTTAGAGATGTCCAGATTTTCTCTTTGTAAAATGAGGAGATAGACCAAACTAGATAGCTTTGACATTTGAAGGTTTGACTCCTGGTTGACAGAGTATTCTGGAGATACATAGGTGCCACCGATACGCTTTCTAATGGAGGGTGTTGCAGATTCCAGGAAACAGAGTGCTTCACAACCCAAAGACCATCCAGTTGATTGTAGAGATCATCTATTCTTCATACTTACTTTTCAGATGAGACATTTGAGGATCAGGGAGCAAAGTGACTTACCCAAAGCCACTTAGTTCACAAATAGCTCAGTTATTGCACGTTAACCTCCAGTTTCCTGGCACTAACTAGCCTAGTGCCCTAGCTCCCATACCACACCACCTCCCAAAGATTGGTGTGACTGTCGCCTGCTCCCTGGGGTGGTAGGCACATGTGTCTCACATCCATCCATCCAGGTCTGATTCCACAGGTAAATAAAGCAGACAAGAGGAAGAGTGGTCTGAGGACCTGGGGGCAAAAGTCTGCCTTGCACAGAGCCCCCGTCCCAGGAGGCACTGAAGAGCGCCCTCAACCTGTGTCCCATTACTCAGAAAATGTCCTGTGACAGAACCATCCGGCTCCTCCTCAGACCTGTGGGGTGCTGATTGCAGGACTAAGTAGGGCCCTTTAACCAACATTAACCTAATTGCTGAGTGATAGATGGCACGGCACAAGCATATGGTGAATCATTACTGTGCCCGCTAATGCTGCCCGTGCCCAGGACTCTGCACTGAGCCCGTTTAGCCAAATTCATCTCTTGCAGACATCTGTAACGATTGTGCCTGCTGCTCACTACCCGGGATGGAGGCTTTAATGATGTTCACAAACTCTGAAACCTCGAGAGTGGTAATGAGTCTGGCACGGCTGGAAACCAGGGCTGCATCCAGCAAGGCACAGGGTGTGCTCACAGCCTCCTGTCTGTCCCATGCCCGAGGATGGCAGTGGTTTTCTAGGATCACCACCAGTCTTGGCAAGGGATCTTGGTGACCATTCACCCACTAAGGCTCCTTTCATATCCTCACTTCCAGTTTCTCTTGACACTTTCTCCCTCATGGCCCTGGGTGAATGCAGTGCGTTGGATTTCATAAACAGAACTCAACTTGTTTACATTTGTAGGGCACATTAGGCCGATGAAGGTCGGAGAGACTGGACAGCTTGCTGAGGTCTCAGGGCTGGTCAGTACAGCAGCTGGGGCTAAAATGCAGTTTAATTCCACTTCTCATGAGCTTCTGCGGTCCAGCTGCCCAGCAATTTGCACTCCTCAGCTAAAAGTCTGACCCCTCCTACTCTTCCAACAAGTTGGAGTCTGGTCTGTCTCCAGAGGACCCAAGGCAGGTCCTCGAGGCCGGGGTGGATTGGGGGTCAGGAAGACTGAGTGCCTAGTGTAGTCTGCCACAAAACTGGCCTCAGTGGAGACTGTCTGGCTGTGAGGCTCCTCCCTGGCAGCTCTTACCAACTCTGTCATTTTCCTTGTCACCCTCTTTCATCTCTTTCCTGTAGGCCTAGCCAGCATTTCCGCCAAGTCTCATCCCTTGCAAGGATAATGTTGTCAGTGAAGGATTGGATGCAAGGACTGAAGGGATCAAGTTAGCTCTTTTACTTCCACGTCTGTGGTCAGTAGCCATCACCTAGTTCCCAGAGTCTGGGGATTCACCCCTTCTGCCTCTCACACTTCTCTGGGCCATACTGAATCATGGTCCCTGGGAGTCTCAAAGCCACATGCCCATGAACCATGGAATATTCAGGCCTCTCCTGTCCAGGAGTCTTGCCCACAGTGGCTATGGAAAGGAAGCACCCTAGACCCAGAGACCAAAGACTGGAGCTCGAATTCTGCCTTGTGCGCCTAGTGAACTGGGGATAGTTATTTCACTTCTCTGAGTCTTTCACTCTCTTGCTTTGCAAAATGACAATGACAATAATTTCCTGGTCAGGGCCCTGAACAATTAAAAATGAGATAATGGATGAGAAAATATTATCTTAACTGAAACGTGCGGAGGAAAGAAAGATACAGTGGTGAGGTTTTTACGGTTGCTATTGAAGGCTGGTTCTCAGGAGGTCAAAGGGGAGGACCTAAGGCTGCAGAGGAGTGAGGCTAAGGGAGGGGAAACCCCTGCCCCAAAGTCAAGCTCCTGTTATGCTCCAAGTAGTTCATGCAAAGCTGCATCCTCAGTGGAATCACTTGACCCAACTTCACTGATGAATCAGGCAGAATGATCTGATGGCTCTCTCCCTTCTTCCTGTGGAGGGGTGGCATCCCGCCTTCCATCCTCTTATCCCCAGCTTCCTGCCCACCTCCTGCCCACCAACTCACAGCGGCCGCCACTGCCAAATGAACACCCCAAATTGGAACATATGTCACTCCTGGAGCCCCGGTCGCTTGTCCGCCACTACATGCCTATTTTCTAATTTCCAGCTGGCATTTCCCTTAGTGAAATAAATGAATTTGCTCCGGCGGAGGCCCTGCTCGGATTAAGCTGCTGTCAGAGCACCATGCACCAAACAAATTGTTGCCCGCAGCCCACCGTGCAGGATGCATTCCAATGGGGGCTGGCAGGAGGGGCCTGGGGAGACCAAGGAGGAGCCTGAGCTTGTCGGGAAACTGGCTCAGTCATGCCATTGGGCAGGCATGGACTGGATGAAGGGCAGGATTGGTGCCGAGAGCCTTGATGCCCGAGGAGTCAGGAAACAGGAAATCAAGCAAAACTCCACCTTCTGAGGGTGGAGCTGGGTAGGAGTGCCCTGGGAGGGTTTCTGGGACAGGTTGCCTGGCAGAGTGGGTGATGGGAGATGGATTCTGGAAAAGCCCCAAAGAGGAAGAGGAGAGTCTCCACCCTGAAGCATTAATAGGAAATAGGCCAGCTAGGGCCTACTTACTGCTCAGCAATGATGTATTCCCCTGGGAGGGGTGTGCAGGGCACACCAGCCACCTGCACGTGGTGAGCGATCTCGGAGAAGTCCAGGCCCAAGTTCACGCCATGGATGGTCACTCGAGTTCCTCCTTCGGGTGGTCCTGATACTGTCAAGATCTGCAAGAGAGAATTGCCATTAGTCAACATGGTCAGCCACAGGAATGGAGCAATAGCCTTTTCCCCCTCCCCTAGGCTGGTGGGGGTTGGTATGCTGCTTAAGGACTTTGATAGACACTTGGACTCTGAGTGAACTTTGTATGTCTTCTACACTTTTAAGTTTATCTAGGATCCTGACATCATCTTCTGCTTTGCACTACTTCCTTGGTTAAGACATCGATTCATCCATTTATTAAAAAAAGTAAATCAGAAAGAATTCTGGACTCAAGGCAGAAAAGAATTGTTTGAGATGCATCTCTAATGCACGAGTTGCCTGATTGTGATCAAGTCACATAATCTCTTCGAACTTCAATTCTTAGCTGCAAAGAGAGTATTATCATGTCTACCAGCCTTGCAGGGAGCTTGGGAACCCCCAACACAAGGTATGCTGGGAGCGTTTTATAAACCAGAAGGGTTTTGTGACTGTGACAGTGTTATTATTGCCACTCCTATGTGCTGGATCCTGTGGGGAGTACAATGATGAATACCACTGCAGATTTGCCCTCAAGAAACTTACAGTCGGGAGGATAAGATAACAAAGGCTCATAAATAACACTGATTCAGGGTCTACTGCGATAAGATAGAGAGAAAATGGGGTGGGAGCTCAGTGAGGGATGAGATTAGGTATGGCTGCAGGGGAACCATCAAAGACCTGGAGTGTGATTGCCATTATTCTGGGAAAAAAAAAATCCTATGACATATGTTAGATGTTAGGACCAAGAAGAAATAACTGTAGGATTTTCCAAATCCTTGCTGTCTTTCTATTAGCAAGGATCATTTATTTATTCATTTCCCAATTCAGTCACCAAATGCTGAATGTCTCATTGTGCTTTGACCCAATAGGAAAAGTAATGGCAGAATCCATTTCTCCCAAAGGATAAACTTCTGTCTGGGAAGAGATCAGGCTCTTAGAAAAAATGCAGTTCTTTTGAGACCCATCAGATCCCAGTGAACAAATTCTTGCTTTGTGGTCCAATGAGCCAGGCATGGTGGCATGCACCTGTAATCACAGTAGCTCAGGAGACTGAGGCAGGAAGATCACAAGTTCAAAGCCAGCCTCAGCAAAAGCAAGGTGCTAAACAACTCAATGAGACCCTGTCTCTAAATAAAATATAAAATAGATCTGGGGATGTGGCTCAGTGGTCAAGTGTCCCTGAGTTCCATCCCTGGTACCGCCTCCCCCCAAATTATCATATATTCTGACTCCTCCACTCTTCTCTGGTACAGACAGTTTCCTCAGGGGTCTGAGACTCCTGGTTCTTGGGGGATAGAAACTAGTCAATGAGAAACAGGGAGGGGGCTGCTTCAACTCTGTGGCAGAGCATTGGGAGAGAATTTGCTCTTAGCTCCTGGTTCTTTTTGATCCACTTGAACTGAGCTTCAGCAGCACCTCCATCTCCTCCCCCAGCCACCTGGGTGACATGAACCCACCTACCCAAAGGAACTGACGAAAGTGTGGCAATTGGTTCCTCTCTCCTTCCCCCACTTTTATTTTTAAAAATACATTCTTTTGCTCACTGCAGTTAATTACAACCTTTCAAAAGAAAAAAAAACTGTGAAATGAAATCTTTCTGGAAAGCCTAAAAATATTTTCGTCTTGCAGGTAGCCTGTGGGAGATTACATTGTGGATTCGCAGTGGCACTGGCGGGTTGTACAGGACAGTGTCCTCTTCCTGGCAAGTTAGTGCAGTCTTTCCTTGCAGTATCCAAGGGTTATGGTCAGACACATGGTTTCTGGTGCTGAACTGCTGTAGGGTCAGTTTATTGGTACAGAAATGCTCAAAGCACAAGTCGCCATATATTGTTTAAAGGAAGAAGACTCCCAACCTCATTTGTAAATTATTAGCAGATATTTTGATCTTGGCATGAAGGTACATGTTATGGAGATGGGTAGTTCTAGCTAATCCTGCTTGATTCCAAACTAGGAGAAACATTATCCCCTGGAGACATTATACTAGGTCCTCAAGGCTTGGAAAGTATCTGGGGAAGGTTGGATCTTCATGAGAGTCTTCTTTTCAGTCTACGTCCGATGCTGCCACCGCATGAGGTAGGTGACAAGAGGGTCTGAAGGCAGAGGAAGCCCCTAAACAGCTACCCTGCCATGAGGCTTAGAGGGGATGTGGAACTTGCAATTTCTTTGCTTAAAGCAAAACCGGTGTGCAAAAAAAATCTCGATTTCCAAAATTTAGATGAGGTGGTGATTATTTGATTTGCAAGAGGATTCCCAAGGTCTCCATTAGTGATGTCTTCCAAATCTATATGGTTGGCTCTGACCTCTCTCCTGAGTGCCAGTCATATATCCAATCGCTTCTGGACGTCTCTACTTTCATATGTATGTCCCTCAGGCACCTCAAATTTCACCATGTCTAAAAATGAACTCTTAATTTTTCTTCTTCCCAACCCCAACCCAATTATCCTCCCAGATTCTCTTTCAAGGTTAATGGAATTACTGTGTACCCAGCCAGGAATCTTGAAAGCGTCTTCAACTGTCCCTTTTCCTCACTTACCACATATACCAAATAAGGTCCCCTGGCCCCACGGGTGACTTTGGAATCTGTGTGTTCCAGAGTAGGTGTTAAGCAGGGCTCCATGGTCTCTCAACCAATCTAACCACAGGGTCTCCATGCTTCTCCTTGTAAATCTCATTTCCTCTTGGTTGCCAGGAAGAAAATATACATACTTGATGAGGTGGCGAAGTGCTTGCTGTAAGAACCCTCCATGGCTCTGACCGCTGCCAAGGCAAAGTCCTTAATTTCCTGGCCTGGCCTTTGTGGGCCTTTGGGTTCTGGCATCCTTCACTTCTTCAGCCACATCTTCCATCCTATAATACGTCCTCCATGTCCTGCCAGATACCAGTAGCTCCTGTACATACCATGCATTTAAAGTCTTCTGTGTGTTTGCACCTATTGTTTGCATTTCCCCAGCTCTACGATCAGAGAGGATCAAGGTAGAAGTCTGTGCTCAGAGCGCAAAGGAAGAGAGGAAGGCATCCTACAGAATGTAGCTGCCCACCTAAGGCCTTCCAGGGGGCTGTGAATGAGGCGAAGGGCGATGTCTGTGTGGCAGCCTGGGGTAGCAAGAGCCTGGCATACTGCTATTCTCCATTTTCCTCAGGATTGAATATCTAGAGCACGGCCACAAAGGAGAGCTGTGGTGGGTAAGGACTTCTCCAGAAAGGGAGTAAAGAGGACCCTTCAGGACACACCACCTCAGACCGGGCAGCTGCAGGGTCTCCAGCTCCTTTCCACTGTGAGACTCTGCCCTGGGATTTTCTCTTACAAGTAATATCAGATTGCAGGTCATGCTGGGCTGCATTTCACAAAACTTGGTTCTCTTGGAACCAGGCCTGGCCCTTTCTGCATGGGTCTATAATGAGAACAAAAAGGTTGAGTCTCCAGCTATGACTCTCAGAACTCCAGTGAAGGCCTTCCAGATAAGAAAAGATCTGGAGAGCTGCGGGGAAGGGTGAGAGGTGAGGGCAGGAGGGATGGTGGAGTTAGGTAGAGTCCCCCATCCACACAGAATAAAATATGGCTGGGATGTCAGGCAGGTCCATGTGTCTTGGTTTCCAATTGCAGATGGCCCCTGTGCTGCTGGCTACTCTAGGGAGGGAAGAGAGACCATGTTCGGGTAGTGTATGCAGCAGGAAGGCTGGGATTTCTGCAGTCAGACAGACCTGAATGTGAATAGCAGCTCTGAAACTTAGAAGGCTATGTGACCTTGAATCTAATGTCCTCATCTGGAAACAGATGATACTGCTTGCCTCACAGGGGTGGTGTGAGGATTAAGTGAGATAACATTTGGAAATTCCCTGTATGTTGGTTTAGAGAGCAGGTCTTGATGATTGCTAATTTCCTTCTTATATATCCCTGCACCTCTGCCCCCGAAGACTAGAAAAATACTGGATGCTGGAGTTAGTGGGGAGCTTAGAGAGGATGAAGATCTTCCCATTGATCTGGAAAGAGAACACATGGTTCAGGGAGCTCATGGCAGAGATGCTGGGATGACCCAGGGTAACAAGCTCTGCTTACTTCTGATTGGAGAATGTCGGGGAGTTTCCTGCAGCTCAAGCTTGAGCAGGGAGGGGGCGAGGCCGAGGGCAAAGTCTTGGCTTTGCTGGTTCCGAGCCCCACGTGGAAGCTTATTCTGAGCCAGACATTACCCTTTCACGGACAATAAATTTGGAAGGATACTGACCCCATCGAAAATGGTGTTCATTCTTTGCTCCCTTCCTTCTTCTTGCCATTTCTTTTTTTCCCTGGCCATTAACCATTGTGGGTTGTGCACAGTATTTCACAAGGTAAGCAATGAGTTCTTTCAGGAAAGTGACTCTGAATGAGATACCCCAACCCTCTACACAAATGACTTGTGTGTGTGTGTGTGTGTGTGTGTGTGTGTGTGTGTGTGTAGTCAGGAGTAGTGGAGAGAGGGGAAAAAGGAGATGAAAGGGAGATCTTTAGTTATTGACTAATGTCAGCCTCATGCTTGTCAACACATACTGTACTGAGCTCCATGTGGACCTCAGAAGTGAGATCTAGAAGTAGAGGCCTGGGGAGAGAAGATCCCAGAAGCAGCTGCTATGTCTGGGTTGGGTGAAGGTCGTTGCGGAGACTCTCCCCTAAGTTCTCTGTTTCCCTTCACTATCCACCCTTCAGACTTGTGGGGGTGGGGCGTGCTCCCTGGACTCTGGCTCAGCCCTCTGATGTACTATGCGTGCTACCTGGAGACTTTAGTGGTCCCCACAGCTACAGGCTATGGAGCCCCATGTGCATTTGGTGTGCTAATCCCTCTGCTGGCCAGGCATGCCCACTGACACATGCCTGCTCCTCCTGCCCAGCTCTGCTCAAAAGATGCCTCCATGAGACCTTCCCTCACTCTCTGGCAGAGGCTGCAGCCCCAACTCTGCTCCTACTGACCTTTACGAACACCTCCAAGACAGCCATTGCCACATGGACTATAAC